GATTAGGGATGTGACTATAACCTAGGTGTTCGCCTAATGGGATACAGACGTTAATAATTGTTTTGTTGATTAGAGTGTATTATAGCTCTCAACTCTACATTATCCACTCAATACCTCTCGGTCAGAGAGTGATTTTGCCCAATTTGACTCTCTCAAGCCCAAATAGGTATCAAACAAAATAGTTGATATGAGCTCAAGTCGGGTTCTTATTATCTCTAGTTTGAACCCTTGAATTAGGCTAATCTAACTCTCAATTAACCCAATTTCTCATTAGCCAAGTTATCTCAGACTAGGTCCATCTTTCTCAAGTAGAGACTAAGTTAAAAAGGCATGAATCAATGTTTGCAACCATTAATTCTAAAATTGAAGCACTAAACTAGGCTAAATAATCAACACCCAATCATAAACAAGCATTAAATTAAATACCCATAAGGTTTCGCACTAGGGTTAGGCAACCCTAGTAAAAATCTAGCTACTCATAATGGGTATTGAAGAAAATAGAGAAGAAATGCAAATAAAACCCATAATAAAAGATTAAATTGATGAAGTATAATGTTTAAACACTAAAATAATCAAAAACATCCTAAAAGGTAACGGCTACAGCAGCTTTAAACTTTCAAAGTTGACATAAAATTGTGAAACTCGTCTATTTATAGTGGGCCAAATATCGCTGACAAAAATGCCCCTCATGAGGTTCTGCGGCAGTATAATTCCATGTGCGGTCCGCAAATTTCTTCATCTGGCAGGAGAGTGGGTTTTGCAGCCACATATATCTGGATTGCGGCTGGAAAGCAACTTCTGCGCCCGCGCCATTCTTGTGCGGTCCGCACTTCAGCAACGTGTCAAGACTTGGTCTTTTTGCATATTCTCTCAACTTTGAATTTTTTTGTCAGTGAAAGCCCTATTCTGCGGCCGCACAATTCATGATCGGTCCGTACATTGGTCAAAATCATGTTGGGTTTTGTTGCTTGGTTTGCGGCCACAGATGAAATTCTGTGGTCCGCAATTTCTTCTGTGGACCGCACTTTTTTGCCTTTACGCCCTTTAATGCCTTGTGCTTCGGAACACTCCTTTTTTAGTTGGATTTCATCATGGTAGACTGAACTTCCAACATTCCTGCAATTTTTACAATTTTATTAGTTTCGGGAACGTAAATCAATACTTTCGGACTAAAACAAAAGCAAAAAACGTGCTAATAAGTAGTCAAAATCTCCACTTATCAAAGCCCGAACAGAGATCACCTAAAATTTTGTCGGTCCATCAAAAACGATCTAAGAAACATTAGCCATCGCCTCTCCATGAACATTCCTTGTTTTTTGGCATTTTAGGGCCATAAAACTGGAATGCCGCCTGAATCCTAGATTTTCGTTTGCTATAACCCACGTCATCCGCATGGGTCCGGGCGCCCTGACCCGTATCACTGATGGTAGGCTATAATCTCATATTTTAGTTGATTATTGCACTCGAATTCACTGCACTTTATTTGTGTTTGAGCTTTAATGTATTGTTTTGCACATAATGTGTATTTTATGCCTTGTAGGAGCGATTCCGAGTTATGTAGATATTGTGGAGCTAATTCGAGCTATTTTGATCTTTGAAGTTTGAGTAAAATCCCAAGGGGTTAAGTCGGGATCGTGTTCGGGGATTAATGGACGAATAATGCACTTAGTGGAAGGAAAAAGAGTTTAGAATAATGCACTTGGGCGCGCAAGTGATGCAGTGTACTGCTAGAGGTGCGCGGCCATGTACGCTACCGGGAACTTTACCCAAGCCTATTTTTGTAATTTCGGAGGTGACTCTTTTTGACCTATATGAAGCCTAACTCGTCTCAAAATAAGGTATCTCAGATTTTGGAGCAACTTTTGGAGAGAAGAAGGCAAGAAAACAACGGAGACTCAAAATACTTCATCCAATTCATTCAATACGGAAGTTTGGTTGATTTTGGGAATTGTAATGTCTTCTTATTCTTCTAATACTCTTGTGATAAATAACTTCTCCACTATGGAGTAATCTTTCTTAGAGTTATTGACAGATATTGTGATTTGACTATTGTTTAGGGTTTACTCTATGTTAGTTGCCTAAATTCGTTGAATGAGTTATTAATTGAATGGCAAGGCCAATATTGGTTTTACTTTAATCGAAAGAGAAGTGTTGCTGTAATTCGCATCGTGTTATCTCGTTTGGGTTGATTTTACACCTCCCATAGGTAACCGAAAGATCTTAGAGAGTCATCAATTGACCCAATTTGGAAGAATAGTCGAGAGACGTTCTTCGAAAGATCATTCATTCATTGTATTTTTGTATGTGTTCATAGGACCTGTCATTACTTGGTTAACGGAACTCTCATTCATTCGGAAGAAGAATTTGAATCCTCAAGATAGCCTAATCATCTGTTAAAATCGAAAGAGTCAAAAGAAGTTAAGACTGAACTTAGCACGGAGTTACCTAGAATAATAATTGATCACATATCTTGTCGCATCCCTTACTTCACACCTTGATATTCAATTGTTGCTACTTAGTCACTAAATTTCTATTCATTTCTCACAATCAATAATCTAAGTTTTTATTATTAGTCGGTAACACTTAAATCAAAAGTTTATTTTCCTGGATAGTGTTAAGCTGAAGATTTATTAGAACATTATTTAAACCAATCCCTGTGGAGACGATCTAATAATGTACTATCTTTGACTAGCGAGCCTAAGTGTTATACACCGATTTTGTGTTCGTCAATCACCTAAAATTTTGTCGGCCCATAAAAAATAACATAATAAATTCATGTAGAGGATTCGGGGCCTGTCGCACGAATTCATGTAGATGGCGTGGACTATAGCACAAGAAAATTTGGGAATCGTCCTTATTTCCTATTTTAAGTCGTTTCTGATGGGCCCACAAAATTTTAGGCGATTCGTAGTTTGTCGCCCGAATTCATGAAGGTAGCATGGACATTAGCACATGTAAAACTGAAAATCGTCCTGAATTCCTATTTTATGGCCCTAAAACGTCAAAAACGAGGAACAGTCATGGTGAAGTTATTACTACTGTTAATTAGGTCGTTTCTGATGGGCCCGCAAAATTTTAGGCAATTCGAAGCTCATCGCCCGAATTCATGACATGCGTGTTAAGGGTTTAGCTCGAGGAATGTTTTTCCAATAACAATATGTTCCCTTCAATATTTTATATGTTATTTCAAATCGAAAAAGTTTGTGACCTATAGTACACTTTAGTTAATTCGGTTTAAATTTTTAGCTATGTAAATTTTATTTTAATATTTTAAAGATTTAACGTACTTCCAAGTTTAAAATTCAAAATGCTACTTGCAAATTGTAATGTTTTGAAATTTGAAAGTTAATACTGAATTTTGTTTTCAAATTCTCGTCTCTAGGTCCAACACTTTTCTTTTTGTATTAAAATAAAGGAAATCTCACGAAAATGTCCCAAATAAGTTCCAATTTACCAACCTTTAGTCATTACCAAAACTAGTCAAACACATATAAAAATTTAAAATCCTTCTTCCTTTCCAAGAATCACACGCAAAGATCTCCTTGCATATTTTGAGCATGATCAGCAACATTAGATGCAAGATGGAAAGAAAATTACATAGATGAGGTAGCAAACAAGATGATGAAATACAAAAAAATATATATACAAGATTCCAAAAATTTAAGCAAAAAAGGACCTTTTTTTAATGGGTATGGTTGAAATTCATTGAAAACATATAGATGAGTCAATATACAAATTTTGAGGAAGACTGGAGGTGATTTCGACTGATTTGGTATCAAAATTCGTAGTTAAATCAAGTTCAAAAAAAATTTCCGCGACACATGTATCACCCATATATATACACATAGATATACATGGATATACATGTGATACATATTTGATACATATGTGATACACAAATGATACACAGTATGATACACATATCATTTTTTTCCATGTTTCATCTTCTACTTTGAATTTTCAATTCAAACCACCTCAAAACTCCGCCAAATCATCTCAAAACTGAGATTCAAACACCTTAAGATGTACCCAATCTATTCTAATAACACGCTAAGAAAGCAAAAAATGGATATATTTTTTATTACAAATAGCTAATTGGCTAATATTAGTAATACAAATAGCTAATTGGCTAGTAGTTTCCCTAAAATAAAATAGTTATAGAACAAATAAAACCCAGCCCAACTAAACCTGAACTTGGCCCGACCCAACAAATTTACTAAAGGGCAAATATCACTTATAACCCGTGGCCGAAACTATTTACATCAGATAGCTGCAAAAGTATATAAACTTTATATATTTTTTTGTATATAATATGCATAAATGTAAATATATACAAAAGAATTTATATTTTTTTGGCTACTATCTATACAATATCATTTTCCCTTTCACTTGGTCATGAGTGTGTCAAGCAACTCAAATGTCAAAGTGGCCTAACTCCGAACTGGGCTCCTTAAGCTGAGTCCGCTCCGACTTGTCCATAGAACCCATGGGCTGAAGACGGGCTGGGATCTAAGTTCTCACCCAGCCCAACCTAATTGACAAGTCGAGTTCAGTGTGCTGGGTTGCTTTATTAAAATTGTTGAAGAGTTGTCCCTTTGTGGTTAGGCCATTTCAACAATCCTTATTGATAATTGTGGTTTCCCGATTAGCTTACGCACACCTAGATTAATTTTACGAGTTACCTATTACCTCTCATTAATACAAGTACGAGGTAACTCAGTCCAGTAAGACCTCAAAATATAAAAATAAATCACCTATTTTTTTTGCCTTGGTTAAAATTTGAACCCAACTCTCAACCCACTTCATAGGCCACTAAGCTATAACCCTGGTTGACAGGTCATTTCAGTAATCTGCAACAAACAAATTGTAAAGAGAAAACACTCCACTAAAGTACTATACGTCCTTTGGACAAAATTTTCAGACATTGATGGAAATCAAACTTTATACATGAAATTCAGCCGAGTTAAATCATTTGCTTTGATATTTTATACAAACACAAATAAAAAACTAGAAATGTAATGAAATTTCACTTGAAAAGAATATCATCAATTTATAAGAAGAAAGACAAGGGGAAATTAAAGATGGGGAAGGACCAAAATAGACTAGTAAACATTAGAAACCTATATGGTTTCAATTATAAGTTCTCTTAGACTAGTTTGAACCTACAACATATCTCGCTACTTTTCCTTTTCATAGAGCTTATATTAGATACCTTATAACTATCTACAGACTGAAGCTCAGAGCTTGAACTTTCCCATAGGAGGAACATCACCTCTCATTACTCTCCAAGGGCCGCCATAAAACATTGGTTTCATTAGAGGCACTTCTTGCCCAGGGTGTTCTTCCCAGTATTTTTCCTGTCATTGTGGGAAAAGAAGCTATTATATCAAGGCACGAATTTGAACTAATAGTAAACTAAAGGCTGAAAAGGAAAATCTGATTCTTAATATACGAGGGAAAGTCGTCTACTCTGAACAAATAAGTACTACATAGCTCGTATTATACAGAACACGAGTAGGCTACTTATCTTCTCTCAAGGCAATGACCTACACAAAACATTTTTAGAAAAGGTTATGGCTAGAGGAAAAATAACTTGTTCCGAAAAGCAGATACATACTGAAAAAATAAGAATTAGATCTAGGAGAAGGAAAGAAATACAGCAATTTGACTAGACAAGACAAATTCAGATGATTCTCCTACCTTGAATGAATAAATCCTTTCAGATAGCGAGGTCAAACTATATGCTGGTTCCAACCCATTGTACACATAGGTTAAACAGTTGAGTGGCTAACTTGATTTGCACATTGAAAATACTAAACTAATAACTGAAGCTTGTTCAGTGATGAGTTCTTACACATCAAACTCCTAACTTTTGTTCCTAACTCACTTTTATGGGAAGTGCAAATTCAAATAATGAAGTTCCACACATCATTTACTAATAAGAAAAAGGAGTTCCACCTGTGGGAAGTTAATTTTTTTTTATCAGAAAAGGAGTTCCACTCACTATTCAGAAGTTTCAAGTAAATATGATTAATCATTTTAGTTTGTACTTTCTGCCAGCGACCCTCTCCTAAACAAAGTAGTAAGGTGAAGTAAGTCAGCGTGATCAGTTTAAGAAAATTATATGCATTCCCAGTCAATACTGGGGAGTTCATACCCTGCCAATGCCACTCCAACAATGGTGCTCTTAACTTCCAAAACTAACTTCACAAAGGTCCAATTTCAAATCTGTCAAAAGGAATTTCCAAGCATTTAATGCTACGAAATTAAGGATCTAAAGATATTATACCTTGTAGAGTTGCTCGGTGATGGCTGCCCCAATAACCCCAGTATAAAATGCACAAACATAGATTGTGACAAGAGGCGTAAACGATTTTGGTCTCCTAAATGGTTCGACCATATCCCATAGAATTGTCTTCTCCCACTTTGTGTACACATAATCTGCATATTTCCTCCACATATAGGTTGCCATTTCCACGATATCCTTTAATTATCAGCTGAACTGCACAAACGAAATATCTGGTTAATTGGAAGATGTAGATGTCCACATGCAGAAAGCAGTAAGACAATTTATTAGGGATACTTTTGTTTAATGCAGGACGTATCAACTTTAGATAGCCCATATTACTGTAAATTTATTGGCATAAAAGCAGTCTTACAAATCATTCTAGAAAAACATAATATCAATATGGATGAAGACTATAATAAAAGAATCAATATTAACAGGCGGAAAATTTGCAAGAGAAAAGAAGAGTAACATTTTTGGTAACATTAGGGAGATCTGTTAAGGAGGACAGAGTATTCTTGCTGTTTAACTATCTCTATGTTATCATCAGCAACCTACAAGGTGAGAATCTAATGTCTGGTTATTTTCTACACTAATGATCACTATAGACTATGTTATTCGGATCCTCCTAAAATCCACCACACCTGTGTCGAATCCTCCACTATACTTTACATATAAGTTCTTTTAGCTTTCATATTTTCAATTGCATTACAAACTAACTTCACTAAGAAAAAAATGGATTTCAGTAATTTAACCCTAATTTTTATAATTAGCTAAAAGTTAATCAAATTTTTGGTCTTCTATACAGGAAATAGAAATCCAGTACTAGCAAGAAAAACCACAGTAACACATTAAACTATAATTAGAGATCAGTTCAATTTCAAATCAACACACAATCAGCTCTCAAAATAGGGAAAAACACAGCAAAAAAATTAATCAGTTAACAAGTAATTAAGGCGTGCACCCACTGCCTCCAGTGGCACAAATACTCATCAAATTAACACACCATCACAACTATAGCAAATTATAGTAACTCAAAAATAACTGATATTGAAGCTGAGAGTTTGTTTAAGAAATGAATCAAACACAGCAAAACTCGCCATAATTTGTATTATACCATTCAAAATCATAGCCAAATGCAAAAGATAATAAGCTAATTAGATATCGAGAGAGAAAAATACCTAGAGAGAGAGAGAGGAACGGACGAAGATAAATTTTGATTTTAAATTTGATTCCGTCGCGAGGAACTCTGAAGAATTGACGAGTTTGCTGCAAAATTAGAGCAAGTTAGTGATGTTGGCAAGAAGTTTAGGCCCACTAGAAGATTTGGGCTGGTCCAAGTTCATTCGAATGGGTCCAAATAACGCTGGATGGACCTTTTTTAAAGGGCATATTATACATAAGGCCGGTCGACCAGAAATAATTACATTTGCTAGCTGATATATAGAAAATATACACAGATTATGTGTAAAATATGTATATATTTTTTATATTATATATTAATATAAAAAATATATTTAGACAACTATTATTTTTTATAGCGGCTATACATTGTAATTTTTTTCTTTTTTAACAACTATTTATATTTTAACCCAATTAAGAAATATTTTGGGAAAATAGCCTCGCACCACATTTTTAAAGCATGACAAGCAGGATTTTGCTCGATCGCCACAATTTTAAAGTAAGCTGGGAAGAATTTTAAAGCAACCAGCAGTCCATCACAAGAATTTCAACCATAAAGCTCCAGTGATAGTTAGAACTTTGTGGCAAAATTCTGACGATCACCATATTTGCTCTCTGTTTTAAGATTATGCCCAATGAGACAATCGAATAAAATCCTGCCCAGCATGTTTTAAAATTTTGGCATGGGCTTTTATCCTAAAAATTTTATTATCGAAGTCAAAAGATCAATAGTGACACAAAAATATCTTATTTGTGTTGTTATTCTCCTTTCCTTTTCTTTCACAGTAACATAAAGGGATCTAAATGACATCAAACTATATTTGTACAAAAAGTTGCATATCTTATTATTATAAATATCAAAACATAAAGAATGGCTACTTTTTCTCTCGATCAACTAGTAGAGTTTCATGAATAAAGGAGGCTCAAAACAATGGGGAGTGATCTTTTCGGATTGGTCCGACTCCCGGTAAAGTAAATGTCACACTCCAATAATCTTCGTTTCCCCAAAGGATATGACGTATCTGGATTACAAATAAATATTCAATTTCTGGTTTTAATTTGGGCATACAAATTTAGGAAGCGTACTTTTCAAACATATGCGTTAGAATTTTAAACAATTAAAAAATTTAAGATCTTGGTCAAGAATAAATTTTTTTGACTCTTCAAATTGTAAGTTCTGTAGTTTGGATGGAGCTTTAATTTTTTTGCACTTGTAGAAGATTGCGTTCTAATTCTTTTTAGAATATGGAGAGAAGAAGGGGTAATCTTAAGCAAATGTGGTGATAATTAGGCAGATGTAATGTATATACATCAGTTACGGATTCATCCGACCCAATAATTATGGTTAAAACCTTGTAAATACGTTGAAAAATTCACTAAAAAGTACAAACAATAGATTTCAAATATAGAAAATCGACTGAGTTGTGGTAGAGAATTCTGAACTCCAACTCATAATGTTCAAATGCTAGATTTGTGTATATTATATGTATAAGATAGGTCTTTATATACCTTACCTCTGCATTTATGGTGTTTAGAATATTACACAATGTGGTCACTTAGAAAGTAATTATAAACTTCTTATTTTTTCACACTAAAGTAAATTATCTACATCCTTTTTGGATTATCAATTCTCTTTCTACAAATAATCAGTTATAATTTCTTCTGTTATAGGCTATTAATTCCCGAATCTTTAAAATAGCTATCAAATCTAATCTGTGAAAACTACCTACAAATAGGTAATAAATACACAATTGCATCGCATAATCTATATATTATTAAAAGAAGAAAAAAAAACCTCCACATTAAGCCAAGTAATAATCTCACAATAGGTCACTTGGCAATTTAGGACAAAGTTAATTAGGTTAAGTAATAATTAGTTTTTTTTTAATTTAAATTTTTTTAAAAAATTATTATGCATTACGTGTTGTTAATAATTAGTTACTCTTGTTGAATTTGAATTTAAACATACTTAACTATTTTTTTGCGAAAATAATATTTTTTTATATATTTAGAATTATTTCTATTTTACACTTGATGTCATCTTTCAAGTTTGACACTCATAATCATCTTGTTACAACTACCATGGCAATACATAATTTCATCCGACGACATTCTTCTACCGATAAAGAATTCAATTATTATGCTAATGAAGACATTACTGTAAAGATTGAGAAAGGAGATGGGTCTTCTGGTGTACCTTTAGACATGCAAGGCAACTCTTCTGCTAATATGGAGGCGTTGTGTGATAGAATTAGAGATGAAATTGTTGAGAAACATTATCATGTGTGGGTGACTTTGCTTATTCATGGTGGATTATCAATACATAGTAATTTGTAGAATAGACTTCTAATTCATACTGAATGATGACAATAAGTAATTATACTAGATAATATTATATGCTTTGTTATAACTATATATGTTATCTTGATTAAAATCTTTAATATGTATGTTTACTTTATGTTTTATATTTTAATTAAATAAAATAAAAAAATAATAAAAGTCTCTTACCATAAATATTTAAGTTCATTTTTCTCTTTAAAATATTAATAAGACCTTGGTACTATCCTTTTGGTAAAAGCACTTTTTAGAAAGATTGGCCAAACACAATTTGTTTACCAAATATTGCAAAAAGTACTTCTTAAATGAATTGGCAAAACACAAACTATTTTTTTCAAAAGTACTTTTGAAAAATGCACATCTGAAAAAAAAAATACTTTTCAAAATAAGCAATTTTTGGCAGCTTGGCCAAACGGGCTGTAAATTATAGAGAAAATTACCTTCATTGTCAGTTGACCCAACATACCAACAAAATTAGGCCCATATTTTAGGTCCTTACCCGATTTAACCCAGTTTGTACATAAATTGTAAAATAGTTTTCATCGGTTAGCCCAAAGCACTTAAAAGGTTTTTTCTTTCTTTTTTTCTTCATTCCCAACGCACCCAATTCTCTCCCTACCACCTCTCTTTTCTTTCTTTCTAACCCAAACAGATCCAATCATCCTCTCTTACCCTAGCCTCCATTATTCCTCCTCTAAACAATTCTGGCTCAGGCTCCTCCTCTGTCGTCCAAGCCCACAAAATCTGATGGCGGCAAGCAGAAGAAGAATTTAAGATTTTGAAAGAAAAATGAAAACCCATGCATATCTGAAATCTTTAGCTCTCAAACATGATTAACGTCGAGAAATAACCAATAATTTTGGAAGAGTTTGAAGTTTGAAATTCGGAACAATATTGTTACAACCGTGAAGTCTCGGATCTGAAACCGGATGTATCTTGTCTGGGTATTAAATTCGGAATCGTTCGCATAAAGTTATAATACCTGCTGCTACAACTCGAAGTTGGAATAAAAAATCATAACCATGTAGCAGTTTGTATCAACACTGTATAATTATGTATATGAATGTATAAATACCTCTTATACATTATTTTTTGATAAGGTATACAAGTTGATATATTGTTTACAGTTAATGTAGTGTTGGACATAATGTGTTTTCTAGTGAAAATATTGTATAACTAGTGTTTATATATAGTTATATAGTGTTGTATACTTATGTATAACTGTGTATAAATGTGTGTATTTATGTATAATGTTGTATAATTATATGTTTTTAGTTTATAAGAATCTAGATACAATGTCTGTGCATAAGAGGCCTCCATGGAAGTTTGACACTTTCTTCTCTTCTTTTTTTGTAATGGGCAATATGAAAAAGTTTTTATATGTGCTAGAGGGATTATACAATTCTTTTACCAAGTTTTGATTTTTCGTTTATCGTGTTCGATTGCTTCAGCAATTGCACATAAAATTTCACTTTTAATCTAAAATTTGACTAACAATTTTAATATGTGAAAACCCAAATGTTTCACCACTTAAAAGAGTACTAGAAGATTGGAATATTTTATTGAAAAATCATGTTTTGCCATAAGAAAAAGAGAAAATAGGAGAAATGTTTATTTTAATACATAATGTGTTGGTATTTAAGTTGTGGAAGAAAAAGAAACAAAGACATGGACAAAAGTTTTGCGGGGGAATTCGGGAGATGTGGGGGGGGGGGGGGAACC